ATATATCATCCATATAAATTTTTTGCAATATACCTTAAATATTTAGCGAATATATATAAAGACCAACATACCAATTTTACTATATTTATCATATCTCCTCGGTATGAATATATTAGACCTTTACTAAATAATGAGAGACCCCTAAGAACAAGGGAGCGTCTATTTAGATCGGTTTTTTCTGCATAATTATGCCTGTTTCCAGGCACCATTCGCAACCTCCCAGTTACCAGAACCACTCCTGCCCACCCGTGCCGAGAGACAGTTGCCCCTTGACAGCCCTGACGAGGCTACCTTGCTTAGCAAACTTGGTGTCGGTTTCGAGCCCAAGGCTGAGACCGTGCATTGGATTCAAGAATTCCTTGAAGCTGCGAGCAAGGAAGGTCCGAGGCAGACTGCGGCTTCTTTCTGGGACCTCCGACCATATTTCACCCCAGTTGCATGATTTTTGGGACGCGTTGCTCCCTCGGAGGGATGCTGCAGTCCGCAAGAAGAAGAAGACCGTTTAGAGTATTATACTAAAGCCCCCCATTTTCAGAAATTCCCAGATATAGAACCTTGAACTTCCGAAATCTAATTTGATACGATCTTCACGAGAAAAATCGACAGTCGATAATTCTTAATATAAGAATTACCATACATTTATATATACATATATATATATATATATATATATTCGGATTCTTCTTTATCTATTACTTTCTATAGGTATTTGATGAACATCCCAATATCAAGATCTTTTCCGAATTATTCATGCAACATACATAGCAATATGAGAGGAGGCGTGTTAGTGTAAGATTGGTTTGTATATGGAGCTGCCTTAAAGATTCAGCTGTCTCTGGACACGAGAGAGGATATAAACGATTATTCTCAGGAAAATGAACGGCGTAATACGTTGGCGGAGCCTAACAACGGGTATGAAGTCGCACGTACTAGCATGTTGACGGAATACCGTCACATGATGCATGAAACCCATGTCTGCTAGGGCATACATGATACGATACACGTCTGAATCGTGGGCTCCGGGGTTTGCTATCAAATACTGCCCAGAAATTACAACTAGAACTGGCGCGCACCCTGATGTCCCTCATGATCGCCAGCATAGACAGATGCGTAAACCCAATCTAAGCGTGCTAGCTCATCTTTCTTGGCGAAGCTCCGACAGCTCTGAGCATGTAAGCGTGCCAGGAAAACTCACATGAGCTTGTTGCGGAATTCCACAGGAGTCATGGTGCTTCTGCCTGCATGATCACTTTGGAAGCTCGACTGGACATGACTCACTCAAAGTCTACACGCAGAGATCTCTGGAGAGAACCACCACCTCAGCCAAGCAAGATGAGCTCGTTGTTTAGTTCCAGGATGCTCCAAGTCGTGAATCGAACAAAGTACACACCAAAGGAATTTGCGGAAGGGAGCTTCGTTTCATTTCCGAAAGGCACGGCTGTCAAAGACGACGAAAAACCAAACCCTATCGCCATCCCAATCCTCCACTACTCAAAGACTACCCGGAATCCTTGCAAACCGACAGGTGCCTGCAGCTAAACCCCACCGCTGTGGCCTGTCGCATCCTGTTCGAAGCGAATGAGCTGGCGGCAATAACCTCCGTTCGGTCTGGCCACCTTGAGCTCAACTACAAAAAGTCTTCCAGAGTTGGGACGTGTTGCAGTGCAGCCCCTGACATATGCATCATGCATCCAGATACGTCTCTTCCATTAGTTGTTGTATGTGTACACATATGTATATCTTTGTAGAGCAAAACAACACATAACATTTACACAATATCAACCCTCCAGGCGCCACCCCATGGCCGTAGAGTACCGGAATATTTGCGTTGTTTGCGGCTTCTATTCTGGGCTTTTTGTTGCTCAAAGTCTTGTTCCATTTGTTGCATTTACTTCGCTTTAACTCCCGTATAGATTCTCCGGTCGTACTTGCTGGTTCCCCGCACGTTAGACTCCCGCTACGCATGGCTTCCCTCCGGTCTTGTGCGAAGCGCGGGAGCGTCACGATTATGCATTCAAGTCGTTCGCCCGCTACTTGCAAATACAAACTGCAATAGCAACCACACCGTGCATCGGTGCACGTGCTTTATCTACGTTACCTTGCTGAGAATCATGTCGCAGGGTCTCTGCATACAGTGAACCAGCTTGTATTGTATGCAAGCATCGCGGGTGGGCGAAGGGGGTCTTCCCGGGCCCCTGAGCCCCTGAGCCCCTGAGCCCCTGAGCCCGCGGGCCGCCAAGCCTCAAGGCCTGGAGGGCCTGGAGGCATCGAGGCTTCAGGTCTCGGATGCTCTGAGGCTCTGGGCTGGGCCGCGCAGTTTATTTCCGCGCGAAGCTGCACACCTCGGTTCCTTTGCAACTTATGAAAAACTCTTCCAGAATATGACAAGGGCTTTTCGGGTGCATTTAAGCTTAACTATCGAGATACATGGCAAGGAGATACGTGTCTTGTCATCGCCGTGGCATGTGCATAGTTCATCGGCTTCGGATACATCTTCAGCACACACATACACGAGGTTACCTAGATCGTAACCCACCGCCGTCATCATGCATGGCAGCTCAAAGACTATCATTGAAACAAACACAACACGTATGTACAACCGTGTTCATACTCACGTCTCGAATGTTATGCTATTAAATAAACTTTCCGAGGGATGGTTGTGGCACATGACTGCACGACACGTTAGACAACCACTGCTCCGAAACATGTTGTAGATGCATCTGCATTATTCCTACCCACCGCGCATATAGGGTAAAACTAGAGGGCAGAGAGTCGTACTTTAATGAAGAGCTATAGGTTGGGTTCCATAAGTTTACAGCGGGTATACCTGACTAAAGGCAGACAGGAAGGAGTGTGGCTCATCCAGCACTAAGCTTGCTTTTTTTGCCGGAGCCATTGGGTCCACATGATGCTCCAGCACTAAGATGATCGGCCCTGGCATGGAAACTCTGGAAAAGCTTCCATATTCATTTCTGTGATTCTGGCTGTGATTTCGCAGCGATCGTATGTGTGATTTTCTGTGAGCACTAGGGAATCACTGTGATGTTCGTGAGGCATTCTTGTGAGTGTCGTGTGATGATCCCGTGATTTTCGTGTATCATGTGATTTGGCTGTGATTTGAGGGGCCCGCGGGCCCAGCTGGAACCTGGGTGGGGGCCTCCCATTTTGGAGCCAAATCACACGAAAATCCCATGATCAGCAGGAAAATCACAGGATCAGCACAGGAGTATCGTCCCACATTCACACGAAACTCACAGCCCCCCATTCCCGCTCGCGCGAACACCACAGGAGTGATCGATCACTCAATAATCACAGAAATAATTCGTTTACCTGATCCCAGTGTTTGCATTCACTGGCCCCATCATAATGCTAAGATGCTTTCGATTCGTGCGGGTGTCGTGGGTCCAAGTCGCGCCCCAGACCTAAGATGTACGCTGTGCAGGTGTACCATCTGTTGTCGGTGTTTTGGCTCCAACTGGAACCCCAGAACTCAGAACTGCGACTTGTTGCCGATGTCTTGTGCTCCAAGTGGCACCCCCGAACTAAGCTGTACGAGTCGTTGTGCTGTGCTCCACCAAGCGGCGCCCCACGGCAAATACGTACGATGTGTTGCAGGTGTCTCTGGCTCCAACAGCCCCAGCGCTAGGATGAAGATTTGTTGCCGGTGTAATGTGATGCAAATAGTGCCCCAGGGCTAACATGAAAGACCGACGGGCGGCGGCGCCAACGGACGGCCAGCAGCGTCTGATCGCCCACTCGTGGAAATTCTAGACAGAATAACTTTGGTCTGCTATTGGGGTCCGCAGCTGGGTCAACTATTCTCCTGACTATCATTCCTGTTATTGTCGCTGTATGCATATGGGGCAAACAGGTTTGATATGTTGTCTTTGGGAAAGTTGTCATGTCAGACCCCGCTTCGGATAATGACACATAGATACACATAGTCACCTAAACTTAACTCGCAGGCGATCCAACTTAAGCTATACCTTCTTCTTTGCTTGTGGCAACGGGTCGGTTTATTTCCCAAATAGTCTGGCTCACACATTGGGATTCTTACGTTCAGCATGCACAGAATTTGTAAAGGTATCCGCATGGTGCCCAGACATCGCACCAGCCAAACAACATCGTCGTGCGGTGCAAATGTCTTTCCCAGATCTTGTTGTTCGCACATTACCAGCGCGGCACACGGCTCCTGCTGTGTCTCCGGAGGTCGGATCTGCTGTAAAATTACGCGGGCCCACTTTTGGATCCAAAAGCGTTGAGTCGCAGCAGTATTTCGATGCAAAAGATTTTGGGATCCTCGTGAACCGTGATTGCTTGGGGGAGAGTATTTTCTCCGTGCATCGTTGTCTCCGCGCATGGGAATGCTATTGAAATCCCGCCAGTACGTTGCGAAAGGGTGGTCTGTTGGCGGGGGTAGTGTCTTGGCGGTGTCCTGCTGATCTTCTGGTGGTTTTTGTGGTGATCTTTTGGTTGTCGTGGCCGTCCTGGTCGCAGGGATAGTCGTGTTGGTGGTGCTCTTTCACTATTTAGGGATATACACTGGCATAATATTGCAGGTTGAACATAGAATTTACGGCTGCTGTACTTTGTACTGCACATGGCGAGGCATATGTTTATGCTTTGTGATGTGTTTTGCAGTGCGTGTCTTGTGAAACTGCGAATGAACCTTCACATGCATCACCGGTAAAGGCGGGCAAGTGCATATACAAGTATGCACATGCAATAAAGTTATGCATAACGTATGCATGGCATACTTGTATGCGAGTATGTTATGTAGGTGGTTCTATCAGTCTTTGTTGTAAACACATGACTTGTTGGTGTGATTTCAAGTTTGACGGAAACACTGCCAAGAGTACGGAAAAGCGCAATTTTCACACCGATCCGGGCTATCCCACACCTGGCAAAGGGTATGTATGCATGTGTAGCTGTGCAACAGTCGAAACCACACATCATGATCCGCCACCTTCACCTCCATGGTCGTCCTCATCATCATCATCATCATCATCATCATCGTGAGTCGTCTTCATCATCGCCACCATCATCTTCACCACCAACATCACCACCTATCATGGTTATCATCAGAATCATGACCTTGGTCATAGTCATCGTCATCAGTATTGTCAATGCGTGAGGAATTGTCTCCATCATACTCATTACAAGCTTTACCCTGTGATGCGGTGTTATCTCAACCAGAATTGCGGGCATGACTGCCGCATGAGGTCAAAAAGAACGCGTCAAACATCCGATGCACAGGCTCACATGCCGTGCAGCGCAAGCAATGCGAGAACCACAACAGAACGTCACACTTTAATAGAAGCCTTGAAGCCCCAGAGGCGAGAATCTTGCTTGAAACCCTACATCTCGGAGGCCGGCTGGACGCTTGGATTGAACCAGCCTCCAGGCTTCTCGTAGCTCGAAGCCTTGCTTGGTTCTGTCTTCTCTCACAGGGAGTCGCAGGCTCAGAGTTTACCACAGTATCGCTTGGGAAGAAGGACGCCTGTTCCATGGAAGCCTTTGGCACAGCAAATCCGCAACAGAATCCGCGGGCCCCGTTCCCACATTCCCACGAAGCACTTGCGAACCAACCTTTTCGGGCCGCAGTGCTCAGGCCCCTGCGCTTCTTGAGCACCAAATAGGCGAGCACGATTGAAACCTAACCAAGAGCGTAGTAACCGGCAGTCTGGCTTGGCCAGCATCACTTCCAGTAATTAATAGCCACAGATATGCACTCCAGATCTGCGTCTCGATCGCTTCTTTGTCTGAGAGCGATTCCACGAACAACAGCAACAAAAGCAGTGCTTATGGCAATACTATGTCATGAGACTTGGAGCTGCATGGAATGCTTAAAGTGTTGGGGATTACATGAACCTTGTGCTTCTTCACGCGGTATATGTGCATGTGGATGCTTTGTTCTCTAGTACTGTAGCCGTAGGACATGTGTCTGCACTTATGTGTGTGCCTACCCGCATGTGTGTATGTGTGTCTCTCGCTCTCTCCCTCTCTCTCTCTCTCTCTCTCCCTCTCTCTCGCTGCAGGTTATATCCTTTACACTACATATATATATATATATATATATACATATATGCGCACATACCTAGATATATGTACGCAGACATATATATATATATATATATATATATGTATATACATGTGTATATATATATATATATGTATATGTATCTCCTCGTTGCATATACATATCCAATACATCTCTTTAGAAATATTGTATCCAAGCATGCTACCGTTAACATGAAACCGGCCCGGCGCTATGCTCGCTGCATGCACAGAAACAAACAACACCATGAGAACTCAGAATCCCAACTTGCCAACTGGGCTCTCCACAGATCTGCTAGCACCCTGGCGGCAGTGCACAAGGCAACGCCCCTGGTGACGCTGCACCTGATATAGCCGTGGACCCAATCAAATTTCTGAGTTGTCGTTGGGGATTACGCTTAACCCCAGCAGCATGACTCCGGTAAATGTGCGGCTCTACGCCGGGTACTGATATTCATTCCGGAAAGCAAGCCATGCGCCCTTGAACACGTACAGCTGCCACATTCATGGTGTCTTTCAAAGGGAGGAGGTCATTCCAGGAGGCTGGTCGTGAGTAGGATCGAATACCTGCACTTAAATATATTATGATATTCTATGATATACACTGTATATTGTTGAATACAATATGCTATATATTATATTGGAATGCTGGAATTCTTCGGGTCTGCGCCTCGTCCAGGAAATCAAAAGCTGCGCTCAAGCGCGTGGACAGCTCCTCATCGCGGCTGTCCTGTGGAATCTGGGAGACTGAGCAACTTTTGCAGACTCAGCAACCGTTGTTTCGCACCTTATACAGACCTGCCCCACACTTGATCCCCGGTACTTTCACAAGCAAGGCAATAAACTCGCATTGGAGTCTGTAAACACTTCAGAAGATGTATCTTGGGGTCGAAATTGCCAGCTGTCGACATCCATCTTTGCAAATTCCGTAGTGTAGGGTAACTCGACTTTGAAGTTGTTTGGGACTTCCACTTCACTTCGACTTGAGGGTGACCCGCCTTCAAATGGATGCGCTTGTTTCGCGTGTGAGACATGTAGAAAGGTAACCGCCTCAGCCACGGTCCCCAGAGCAGGAACCGAGCAAAGAACTTCCACCGCATTGTTCAGCCTTCCTCTCTGGGCCCGTGGCTCTGAGCAGTTGAGGATATGGGTGATGCCATTCCTTGTCTGCTCGGAGGGCTGCTACGTGTAGGGCTATTTTGGGCTCTGATTCCTCTAGGCTTGAGAGCTGCTTTGCCCCTACGATGTCAGAGGATTGTGCTAAGCAATATGGGGTTCTGTAGTACTGTAGGGTCACTGTAGGGTCCTATAGTAGAGTTCCCTTTAAGGAAGCTCCTCCGAGCAATAGAGCAGGGCATGGTGGAACCCCCTGGAAGCTCCGGGCTCTAACTCACAGCTTGACGGTACGGGGTGTCTGCATCCTAGTTGAGCTCCATGGCCCAAAAGGTTAACCTTCTACATGTGTTAAGGCTCTATGAAAACATATACATATATAAAACTATGTATAGAGAGACAAATGTATGAACACATCGACGACATCCACACATATGGGCGGTTGACCTACTCATACACCCACCCGAAAAATCTAAAGGTTGCCTAGCCATCTGAGTCAAGGTCCGCTGGACCTTTCAGTCGAGTTTCTGTCGGATCTCGAATCCGTTGGCGGCCGCACGGTCGCCACCTATGAAGAGCCTTAGCCCGCAGGAGGGAGAGGAGCCCAAGGCGCTTTCGGAGACGCATCGATGCTTGGCATTGAACCACAGAGTTGGAGCTTTAGTGCCGTAGTCGCTTGGATCCCGGGCCACTCGAGCACTTTGGAGGCACTAGCGCCTTTCTCCTCCCTGGCACAGCGGGGAGCGGGAATCTGCAAGACTGGTGTAACCGTGCTGCTGCGACTGCCCTCATCTTGAGCCGAAACCTCCTCATTCCAACACCGTGCCAGAACAAGCCAAGGTAGCCCCGTCGCTGCTGTGCCATGGCGAAGCCACTGTAGAAGGCCTCCCAAGCACGCAGTGTCGACCCCGAACCAAATATCTTCTACAAATTTACGAGAACGCTTCTGACGATCTTCTCAGCATGCTCCTGAAGGAGTTGAGTACAGGCCTTCTGGCCCGGACTTATCGTGCCAACATCTACGAGCTGTACGGACAGTAGTTCTTCGGATCTGCTGAGGAGAGAGTCCTCGGATGAGAAAAAATGCTCTGATATTCCAGGCGCAGAGCTCCGAATTCGAGTCAACCCGTGTCTTTCCAATCGCAGCCTTCCTGCCGGCAGAAACCTGGACTCTGCGGAAAGCCAGAGTCAATACTAGCTGAAAGTTGTGGTTGAACCAGCTCCCTCCAAGACTTGTGTTTGCAGTCACAGTATGAACGAGTACGACACGAGCCGAACCCCGAAGCGCTGCCCGAATCATGCTCAACCACAATGTTGGCGTCCCCTCGCCTCCGCGACTTCGCCACCATGCGATCGCCACCAAGGCCTCGAGTACTCGAGGCCCGAGTTCAGACTCGATAAACGAAGCATCGCTGAGGCGCCGTCTAGTCCGGTAAAGAGCGCTCCGGTCGTCGCGCTGTCTATGACCTCGGGGCTTCGCAGGGCCACTCCAAAATCGATCCTTACGCCTCAAAGCATCACAGGCGCATGCTTTCCGAAGCTCCAGGTGTAGAGTTGCTACAAGTATAGAGTCAAGCAGCAGGATTATGAGTTCAAAAGCGTGAAAAGGAGCCCTGCACCCTGCGAGGAATGCCGAGGGCCTCTTGCTGAGGGCCTGGCAGGCCGCAAGGCAAAAGCAATGAGGCGACCTGGTACAACTTACTTCAAAACCTTCTTGCGGATAGGACTGGGCCTGCGGAAACAGCTTGCAAGACCAAACGGGGGTTCCCTGAAGCCCGCAGGCTGGTTCAATATGGACTGATTGGACTCCTCAACTGGCTTCAGGTCGACGGGACATGTCCGCTCGGACGGCCTAGAAACCCGCAAGGACGAGGTCGTGGATGCTCATCTGCGCCGACGATGGAAGATCGACTGCCAAAATACATCCGAGCTTCCAAGCCGCCTAGCCGCCAGCTTTGCAAGCATCTTTTTAAGACGGATCTTGGAAACAACAGACTGTTCAAGAGCCGAGGCCGCCACGGTTTCCGATGCAGGAAATTTCGAGGATGACCAAAAAAACGAGGAATCTGCAGCCCCACAATCGACATACTCTGCAGCACAGCCAGCTGCCCCTCTCACCCCCGAAAGTTGCTACACCACTTATCGACTCCAAAACCGTACAGGCCCTAAATCCTGGAGTTGACACCCTTGAATCCCAAAGCCCGAAACACTAAATCTGGGCCACCCGGCCCAGCGACGCCGTGCGGCGCCGGAGGGCCATGGCTGTGACGACGAGGCGCGCCTGGAGCCAGGAGACTGGAAAGGAGAGGGGGGCTGGCAAGACCGTACAAGGCTTAGAAGATAAAGGGCAAGCTTAACATGCTTTGCTAGGGCCGGGAAATCCCTCAACCCCCGCATCGCTTCCCTCGCAGGCACGTAAGAAGCCACGAGCCTCCACCTCCGCCATTGTTGGCACAAGGCTGACCCCGGAGCCAGGAATTTTGCCACGAAGACGGGTGCGTGACTCGAAATCATAGGCAACAATCATTCCGCGATTCCCTGTGCTGGGGTTCTCTGGCAGCCCACTCTTGTTGACACTGTAGCACTCATGAGAGCTTCGTACGAGGGCAGGGCTAAGCAATGTGCAAAAACGTAATCAGGTCTTGCTGTCAGTTCAACCATAACACATCCATATAGTATATTATTGACTTCGCATTTTTAATCCCCCCCTCAATTACGAAACCCCCTGCCGGGAACCGAACAAAAACTTGGCTGCTTCTTGTCTTGTGTTGTTTGTCTTGTGGCAGAGAGAGAAAAAGAGAGAGAAACTGCAGCTACTAGGACCGCTGCACTGCAAGTGTGCAGAGAGAGAGAGAGAGAGAGAGAGATAGCTACTTGGACCGCTTCAGGTGTGCGGAGAGAGAGAAACTGCAGCTACTACGTGTGGTGGTGTCTTTAGAAGCATGGAAAAGGACAGCAAGCTTTGAAAGCCAAGCCCTTCATTGGGAAAGCTTTGGCTTCCAAAGCCACAGGACTCCGAAACCGCAGATTTAGAGGGCTTCAGAAACCATGCCTTCCTTAATGAAACTCCTTTTTCCCGGAGCCAAAAATCAATCCATCCTGATGGAGTACTAACAAAAGCCGTTCTTCTGATAACCCCCCTCAATTACAAACTCCCCCCGGGGCGGGCCGTGTCGTGGTGCCTTTAAAGGCATGGAAAAAGACAGCAAGTTTTAGAAGCCAAGCCCTTCATTGGATTCAAAGGGGCAGCAAGCTTTACAAGCTCTTCATTGGGAAAGCTTTGGATTCAACAGGACAGCAAGCTTTAGAAGCCAAACCCTTCATTGGGAAAGCTTTGGATTCAAAAGGACGGCAAGCTGTAGGAGCAGAGTCTTTGATTGGACGAACCTAGCTTTAGGAGCCATGCCCTAGCTTGCGAAAGCTTCGGCTTGCAAAGGAGGAGGTAGAGGAGAGCAGTCTCATTATTCGCTGCTGAGATCGTACAGCACAAGTCATAATTTACCAAACGTGTCTTGTCCGCTACTGTACTACTACTGTACTACTGTGATACTGTACTACTGTACTACTACTGTACCATTCTGATACCGTACTACTGCACTACTACTGTACTATTCTATTGTGATATACTACGACGACCGACCCCCCCCCCTCAATAGCCAATCCCCCCCACCAGGGGCCAGCAAACAATCAACGGGGGTTTATTAATGGGAAGTCAACATTACAGTGCTTCTGGGGGCCTGCGCATTCCAGGGCCCAAATTGCAGGGGCAACCCCATCCTGTCAACGAGCCTCAGAGCCGCGCTGCGACCCTAGGAAATGTTCGGGGTTTGGCGTTCGGGGTTAGGCAGTCTTGCCCTTTTCAGAAGAGGCCACGAAAGCGGGGCAACGAGAAGAAGCAGAGTCGATAGAGCTCAGCCGTTATTGCATGCATGCTCGGCAGCGTGGAGTTCTGAACAGAGCCAGCTTTCGTGATAGCGAAACACATAAGGGTCGAGGGTCTAGGATTAGCGTGGGATAACCCAGACCTTTGACTGGACATATGACTCACCCAGGCCGCGCTCTTTTTGCTGGATTTCGCTTTTCTCGATCAGCCCGTCCATCTCGGGGCGCCTCTTCCTGCATTGCCGCTACATCTTGTAGGGTTCTTGGGCTTAAAACTGTGTGGCGGGTTGAGAACCCTGTAAGTAAGGGTACCCCAGCAGGTTCACGGGTGCCGTCGATTCTTGCATCAAGATAGGGGTGCGCTGTGGCGGGTGGGCTGCAGGGTGTAGAGGTCTTGACCCGCAGCTGCGCGACAAAAACCCTCGCACACACATGCACTGGCCTTGTCCAGGCTGTCTAGCTGCGCTCGGCGTTCCTTCCCCTCGAGCTAGCTCCTCAACCCTGGACCCATATCTCTGTCGCTCTTTTCCCCTGAACGCTACCCTTGCAGAATCCTCCAGAAACTCTGACGATTTCTGAAACGCCACCCATAGCCCTGCCTTGCTCAGACGTGCTCCGGAACCTGACCATACAGACGTATACATGTAAATGTACAGAGACGTACGACGCACACATATACGTGCAATTAAAATCACAACTTAATGATACATGGTGCGCGATTCCGCGACAGACCACCAAGAGGCCGACACGTCGATTTTTGAACTATGAGCCAGAATAGCGAGGGATGTTCGGGTTGCTTTCCCTGCCAATACTGGCATGTTTGCAGGGCATGATTGAGAGTTGCTGGTTTGTTGCACCTAGGGTAGGTCTGGACCGTGCTCATCTTGCCCCGAAGAACGGCTCGCTAAAGGGCACGGTATAGAATAGAGTAGATACGGACAGAACAGCATAGAATAGAATAGGAGTAGAATGGAAGCAAAGTAGAATAGAGGAAAGTGGCAAAGAATAGAGCAGACTACTAGAATAGAACCGAAAAGAAAGGAATAGACTGGAATGAAACAGAATGGAATAGAATGGAACCACTGGACCAAAATGCAATACAGCATAATACCGCACACGTACTTACAGACCCTACCTACCTAATTACCTAGCTAGCCATCTACCTCTATACCCTATGTCCCCATCCCCCTATGTATACATACTTACCTGTCTACCTACCTACATACACGTGCACATGGACACAAGCATGGATGTAGACATACGTAGTGCAAGTACATATACATGTACACCTGCATAGACGTAGACACATGTGTATACTACACATACGCAGACGCATGTACATATATATATATATATATATATATTGTACATATACATTCAAAATGCAAACATACATGAATACAAATACGAACATGTACTTCTACTTATACATATATGTCCACATACAAATCTGCATCTTCAAATACATATACATACATAGTTACATGCATGCATACATACGTGCGTACATACATGCATGCATACTGCATACTTACTTACATACTTACACAAATATGCGCACACACATGTATACATATCCATAAGAATAGGCATAGACATCTGCGCGCTACATACGCGCTACATGAACATGTGCATATGTACATGCATATACATATGCATGCACGCTACATATACGCATATACATTTACATGTGCAGTTGTGTATACATATCAGGTGCATCAACATATTATGCATATGCACATACATACTCAACAGACACACATTTGAGGTAAGCCTCGTTGCCTCTGAACGTCTTTGTGTTCTGGGTTGGAGTCTGAGAGTGAGCCTCGGGAACTTGAGAAATGAATCCCACAAACTCCCGCCGAACGGAGTAGGAAAATTTCTGGGGCTCGGGTGTAGAGGTTGGGCTCGGGGACCCCAGACATAGACGCGGACGTAGGGACTAAAGTTTCCAAAGACATCAAGTCACCAGAATGTCCTGGATGTCGAGTCTGTAAACATCAGAGAATAGAATGACTTGTTTGGGGTTTATGTTTCCCACAATTTGCTAGGCTTATGACGACAATGATGAATGTATCTACGTTGTTAGTGTTCCCGGCTAGCGCTGAGGGCAGTGGTGGTGGTGGTGGCGGCGGTGGTGGTGGTGGTGGTGACGGCGGTGGTGGTGGCGGTGGGGGTGGTGGTGGCGGCGGTTTGGTCGTCGTCGTCATCGTGGAAGCCGGTAACAACGACACCAGTGTTAATTACTCATGTTGGGCTTCCGCAACATGATACAGGCACCCCAGACGGACAAGATGTTCAGTCCACAAGAGCCCCAATCACCGATGAATTTTGCTGGCCCACCTGCCTGATTCTGCCTCAGAACTTCCACCAGGCGGTACCACTTCATCTTCGACCTCTTCCTGTCGAGAAGGGCGGACTAGTGCTGGCAGCAAAATCATCCTGGTCCTAGACGCGAAGAACACCGCAAGCTAATATCCCAATAACGCAAGCAAACCAAGCTAGGGCGGCAAAGCACTGTCAGCTTAATCGCTTGACGAAATGAGAACCGGAGGTGCGTGAACTCGTCAGACTCGCATCAAGCACCAATCGCAAGCTTACCAAGAAGCGATATCTCCTATCATCACTGGGCAAGAGGCGACAAGAGCTACTTCCCCACAGCTTGCTGTATGAAGCAAAGGACAAGAATCAACAATGCCACAATGGTCTTTTGCTCAACTGTGTTGGGGTTCTTCAAGAAGTATCGGGTCGCGAAAGGCAGAATGAAAAGCCTGGGGCTCAACAACTCACGAAAGCTTAAAGCTTGAATGTCTCCCGTTGAGGCTATCATTCACATGCAGCATCAACAGCAACACACTGTCCTTCCATATTCTATGTCGAACAGCAAGGGAAGACAATTGCAAGACAGTGCTGCGTACACAGATCGCAGCTAGAAGTGGAACCACAGACAGCACGACAACATCGAGTTGCTCTGCATAAAGAACCCCTTCAGAGGCACACGCCACTGTGAACAGTTAGTCTCCTCACGAGGACCATAGCTTTCAAGGAAACGACATACTGGTTCCACGACTTGTATCTGCAAGAGAACACCTCAGCAATGCTTTTGTCCCAGTGGCCTATAGGGTGCGATGAGGACCACATCTCCAAGCTTGGAGGTCTCGTACTCATCATGAAAGTGCTTCTTCTTGGAGCGCTGGCACGGCAAAAGGTTGAGACTTCGGCTCAGTGGTTACTCTGACTTTGCGAGAGCGGAATGCATCTAGACGTGTGTGTTTATGTTGGACTTTGTCGGGAACTATGATCTACTAAGGATATCTAAGGCATACTGCTTCATGAAGGGTCTTGGACTCTCTGCACAGTTCCTTCCTCTTGCTGTGA